CAGCACCCAGGAGTTTGTTATCCTAAACTCTTACTTGCAAGATTTAAAAGAAGAAAGAAAAAAAGAAAACCCTTCTGGAAGGGACCCTTAAAAAAAAAAAATTGTTCAGTCAGAAGATTGCTGTTTTACTGCAGATAAAGAGCAATTTTTGCAAGGCAGTCGAAAGGGAAGCAACTTGTTATGTTTTATGGCCTCTGTTGCCCCCTCCAGTCCTACATTAGTAGTCGGTGCTGTTTGGAAAACAACAATCCTGGGGAAATCTGCAATAATAATAATATCTCAGGCTCATTATTTGATATACATTTGACATGCGTTGGAAGTTAAAATTGGGGTCAGAATTTCCTTTTCTGGCACCACCAACTTTCTATCGGAAAAGCAAAGCCCATTTATAGAGGAGACAGCTTTACAGGAGCTGAAGGGAACTTGCAGCCAAGTCCTCTCAAAACTTTCTGCCACGTGTAAAATGCACCTGTACCCTGGCTTTCTGCAGCCTGTGAGCACATGCATGCATGTGTGTAGAAAAAATTACACCTAAAAAAATTGTAAGCAAGTCCATTTTTCTTTTTCATGGCAAGCCCAAGGGCACACATGCTGATCAGATGTTTGTTCCTTGGCTGTACCAAACGGAGGGAGCCCCAGCTTCACCGTCCTCGCAGAGGAGGGAGGCTCAGCTATAGAAACCAACAGACTTCACACCTTTTTAAAGCCACATCACTGTGGTAATGACCAACAAATATTATCATTACCTTATTATGTCTTATGTCTACTGATTATTTTTTCAAGCCAGATAGATGGGGCGCCTTCGGTAATTTCATACTGAAGAGTGTCACTTTCTTGAGGAGACAATTTTTAGAGACAGAGAGGATGCCAAGAGCTCGCCATGCTACTCCAGTGCAGACAGGGGGAGCAGGCTGTGGAGATTTATACCTGGATGAAGCAGACAAGGATAATCTCTCCTACAGAGATGCCCGCCTCATGTAAGGACACAAAGGAAAAGAGTTCACAACAATGACATCATTGACCCGTTAGTGTCTAAAATAGGTTTTTACACTCAGTTCCTCCAAATAAGTTTTCTAAGTGAAGGCATATTTAGAAAGGCAAAAGCACACCCTCCTACCTTCGGGAGCTTTGCTATGTGCTCCTGCTGTGCCTTACGGACCGCATCCAAAAGATCACATCTGTCAGCCATTGTACTCTGAAAACATCGGGCAAAAATGACAGTGCAGTGGTGTCTAGTGCTTGTCTGTCCCATGACTGTACAGTGTGTACAGGAGCTGGACAGAAGTGGTTACATCTTTTCAAAGTATTTAGAAATTAAAAGGTACAGTTTTCTCTCTTTGAAATAAAAATTGGGGAGACTAGGCACTTGGGCTGCAGAGGTGCTTTAAACTGGGAAGTGGAAAGGCCAGGTGACCAAGGTGGTGGCAAACCAGCAAATCAGGACCATGCATCCCTGAAACAGGGAAGAACGACGTCTGCCCAACACCCTCCCCACGTGCACTCTTCTTCCCCAAAAGGTTGGGGTTCCATTTCTTTCTGATTCTCTCTAGGTTTAACTTCACTGTCCCATCTCTTCAAGCCCACTTGCTGGCTTTGCAAATCTGAGAGGCTCCCATCAAGTTTCATATAATCAGTGACGACAACCACGCAGGCCAAGAGATGAATATTCACTATCTATCTTCCCCACTGTCCATGAGTAGGATTCCTACCAGCTAGTTTTTTCTGATAATATAAATGCAAGTGGAAGCACAACACATTCCGGCATAGCCCACTGGTGGGAGCAGAGCAGGTAGTTTGGAGATGATGAGGTTAAATAGATGAAATGCTGGAGAACTGCACTTGCTGAAAGCATATTTTTGCATACAAGGTTTTTAACTTGATGCTAGAGGAGAGAGAGGATGATTGCCAGATTGACGGTTAAGAAAAATGTCATTTTAACTGACAACTGAACAAACAAAGAATTAGCGAGGTAAATCTGGAACTCCGATATACCCAATATACCCATACTATCATTCTGGAGTAGAACAGTCTACTCAGGAAAAAACAGATTTTCAAGGAAAATTATAGCATTTTTAAAAATAGCCTTTGATGTTTAAAATGCATATAATTAATGACAAAAGTTTTCAAAGATACAGTTGGATTAGTTCTGCTTGGACTGGTTCTCTTGTTCCTGTGATTCTCTATCAATCATGAAAGCAAAAAAAGAAACGAAATAATTTGTGGAGTAAAAATGGGTATCTGCACCACACTTGGAGATGAACTTTAACCAATTACTTGAATGATAAGTTTTTTTTATTGTAAGCACTGCAGAGTCAGACCTTGTATCATGTGCAACAGAGATTGTTCTTACACTCCAGCACGTGCTTAATACACCAAATGTTAATCGGTTTGGGCAGGACAAGCACGCTGCAGAGTAAGGGAAGTCTCCTCTGAAACCTGCTATTCCAGTCTTACGGATGAGAGAAGTGTATTTGATCCCTGTTGAAAGGCTGGAGATCTCAAGCTTGTGCAACTTGTCATCATAGTGATGCAGCTAGAGTGCTTGACAATGCAATTTAATCACCATTTTAAATTGGTGCAAGTACGGGCTGCTGTGTGGAGGGGATGTCCTGTCTTCTCTACTGCTGGTTAGTGTTACTACTTGTGCGGTAAATCAGATGAAAGAACTACCTGAAGCCTTTGCTAGGCTTCTACCCAAAGCTTAGTAAAACCCTGGGGCAAAGGAGTAAGGGGTTGGCTTAGTTTTCAGCTGGATCAGCCCCTGATTTATCTCACCACTCATCTGAACAGCTATTATTTCTGACACAGGCTGGGGGAGCAAGAGCACACATGGATCCGTGTATCCACACAGAGATTTGGTCAGCCACAAAGGAGCAAGCCTCGTGCAGAGGACACCGACCCACCGGCACCAAGGGGACGCTTCCCCAGGACTGGCTGTCCGCACTGGCACTGCTTGCTTCGCTCCTGCGACCAAGATAGCAGAGCGTCTGAGAGCAGATTGCAAAAGGCAGATCTTTCTGTGTATCAACTAAAACAGATATAAAAATATTCTTGGCCTTCTTACTCGATTTAAAAAAAAAATTACAGCTGTAAAACCTAGTAATTTTTTTTTTTTTAAGTTGAAAACCATGTTTAAACAAGCATTCCTGTTTAATTCATATGCTGCAAGGATTTCCACTTCTGCCTGAAAATTCCTGAATGTACAGTCTTACAGTGATAATCCATTTTTAAAAATAGGTAGCTGAGGCTATTCCCACGAGGCAGAAGCTTGTGGATTTACAGTGAAACTGATTCCAGTGTAAGAAAAATGAAACAGATATTCCAGTTCACCTGATATACACAACAGCGGTGACAACTTCTCCACTAATAAAAGATATGACACAATTAGACTGCTAACCTTTCCACTTCGGGAGTTTATCAAAAGAGGCCAGGACTTTAAATGAGAAGAACCAAAGATAAATTCTGCTGCTACAGAATTCTCCTATTCTCCACTTTCGTCTGAAGCTCTCCTGAGAAAGACCACCAGCCTCAGATCTAGACGCAAACTGCCTTGTTAGGAAAACTTTGATATTATAATAAAAGGTGAATAAATATTGTGAAGGAGCGTGTCTGTGAAAGGTATTACAAATTTAAGTAACTGAACTGTGATAGCAGAAAGGCTCAGGAAGAACTGAATTAAACAAATACAGGTTTTACAGTATCTTTTGGTACACCAGCTACCATATAGTGGGTGCTAAAAGACAGCAGGGCCAGAGCATGTTATTATGAACTGGGACTAGAAAAGAGAGAACAGTTGGCAAATAGAGAAGAGAAAAAAAAAAAGTCAAGGATAGGAGGAAGAAAACATGCAAAACAGGCACTGTAAAAAGGGAAGGAAAACTTTGATATTTTCACAGTGAGCAAGATCTGAAATAGATAAAAATAGATAAATAGACTTGAAAACACTACCTATTACAGCCTTTTGGTCCATTTTACAGAGAACATATGGTCTAAGCATTAAGCAGATACAATTTGAAAGTAGCCTCAGTCTGAAAGGCACACGAAACGCCGGGGGAAAAAAAGAGAGGCAAAATTGAAGAGCTCCCCCAGGTTTAATTCTTCTGCCATTTGGAGATTCTCACTGGAGCGCACAGAGCCTGTGCTGCAGTGAGGATCCCCCATGCATTTGAGGTGAGTGAGCTCTCTGGTGAGCGACAACGAAAAACATTTGCTGTTATTTTTCCGAATCATCTGCTATCTTGTGCTAAGCACTTTAAAACCGCTTCTTGTGACAAATCAGGCAAATACCAAGGAGCACCCAGTCTAATGGGGAACCTGGAATTCTTCCCAGGCTCCATACAAGTCCAGCATTGCAAATGAGCAGACACTAGACCACCCCAGCTCACGCACCCTGAATATTCATTGCAACAAATGACTTCACCCATCCTAGAGAAACTCTGGCAAGTATTCAGCTGTTAAATATTTGGCCCTATTACTACTGATATGGCAGTAATACGTTACCAGCCAACTTCTCCTTCAAGGGATGCAAAGTGCAGGATATGTTGAGAAAAGAACTACTAAGACAGGTAAAGAAAACTGAAGAG